TCTGTCTCCTGGTCTTTTATTTATGTCACTTCTTCTTGTTGGAACAGGGAGCGATTACGTTTTCTTTGTTTTAAACCCATTATTGGCGTGTCTGTTACTTCTAAGTTTGCTCGAAGCCGGATGCGCGAATGTTTGTGCGAGCATCTCTCTGCGTCAGGGTATTTGTACCCTCTTTCCGCCGCCATCTGGCCTCGACTTCTGTCCTATGAGCTAGTAGAGGAACTTTAATTCCGTACCAAAAGCTTTCCTGGCGGTGATATCGCTTTTTTGTATCTTTCCTGGACTCGTGACCTCGCTCTGTTGTTGGTTGTATAGTCGATCGCCACCCCGGAATGTACCATTGTGGCGTCGATATCACTCTCTCTCTGTCTCCTGGTCTTTTATTTATGTCACGTCTTCTTGTTGGAACAGGGAGCGATTACGTTTTCTTTGTTTTAAACCCATTATTGGCGTGTCTGTTACTTCTAAGTTTGCTCGAAGCCGGATGCGCGAATGTTTGTGCGAGCCTCTCTCTGCGTCAGGGTATTTGTACCCTCTTTCCGCCGCCATCTGGCCTCGACTTCTGTCCTATGAGCTAGTAGAGGAACTTTAATTCCGTACCAAAAGCTTTCCTGGCGGTGATATCGCTTTTTTTGTATCTTTCCTGGTCAGCTGCCTTGAAATTCCGAATAGTGTAGAGCAGACTTCCCTGGGACCCTTAGCGGCGTCGAGATCGTTAGTCACCTGAATTCCCAAGTCACATCGTCGAAGTGTTGAGGTCGGATATGCTCAGTGTCACAGATGCACGACGTCCACCAGCCTTACCTGATTATTCGCTGCTTTGCGACCGTGCTAGGCTTCGGGGTCTGAATTCCCAGGCTAGCACTTCGCCTTATAAATACAACTCGTTTAAAGCTGCTCATGCGTGACTTGATTTATTTGCTACTGAAACTACGCCAGTTATAACTTTACTGCGACAATTAGTACGTTTTGATGGATGCCGGTGGATGCGCTTGAGCTGCCGCTGGGCATATAGATCTTGTCCATGGCTGCGTAGTGACTTGTGTCATCCTTCCCTTTCTGACCCACTTTTGTTGCTGGTTAAAATCCTGGTCAAATGTTTGTCGTGGACCAGGGGATGTAGTGGCACGCCTAGGTGCGAGTCCGGCCGAGCCGGCCACCTGTGCCCTCTGCCGCCTTCGCTCTTGACTATGTTTGGACACTGATCTTATGCGGGGTAGGAGGAAGTGGGAGTGCGGTGGATGCTGTGCAAGTCTACTACCTCTATAAATTAATTCACACACAGGTCACCGTGCCTGTGGAGCACACGGTAGACATCATTGGCGTCGATGGCCGAACAGTCACTACGTTTCGATAGCAGTTTTGCATATTCGTTCTACGCCTATTTTATCTGCTCCCATCATTAAGAAATTTTGAATTCAAGTCTGTAATTGCAGGCTTGCTCCTAATGCTTGAATCGTGAAGTTCACTTTTGGCTGGCCATGCACGTGTTAAGCACCCTTTGTTGAAAAAAGGAGCCTTGAACCCTGGGACTTGAGTGGCAGAGGTAGACAGACCCAGCTTATTGCAACGGGCATGGGCATTAGATTGCTTTTTCATATTTCCTCTGACGAC